CCTTGTATTTTCTCTTTAACGCACTCAATTTAAATTTGTCACACACAACTTGCAAATATGTTATAGGGCTTGTCTATCCACATGAATCGTATCAAATATAGTAGTATTAGGATTAATGACTTTGGTCAATGATATAAATATGTATGTGTGATATGTATATACTTGTCATAACTCTTTATCTGAAGATACTATGTAATATCAAAAATCGAACATTAATTTTATAATATTTATATTTCAATTACTAATTTGATTTTCTTCTAATTACGTTAATTTAAAATCAAATTGAAGAAAGAAAAAAGAGATATAGATGTGGATTGATGTGATTATTTCGGATTGGGGAGTGTGCTGGTTAATTTTTTTTTTTTTTGAATAAATCTTGTATTATTAGATTAAAGTAGATGAAGATTAAATCAATTTTAATAATTGTTGTATTTTTTAAGTTGAAAATTCAACTTCCTAAATATATAATTAGATTCTATATATTCAAAAGTCTATTATGAAACCGAGTAATGTTACTTTGATCTAATTTGCAAACTCTTTTTTGGACAATAATTTACGGATTTAATCATTCATAATTATTAGATTGACGGTGTAACCCTAATATTTTTGTTGGGACCCACAAATAATTTAATAATTATGATGTATTAAATCAACAAATTATGTTAAAAAATTAATTTAAAATAACGTTATGGTACGAAACCTTTAGGGTAGTCGAAGCTAATCCTATTCCTATCCAGTTTTTAATGTAAGACAAATTACAACGCCAAGGATCTTTGATAACAGCATATGCAGGCCAGTCCTATGCAAATTATAAATCTAAGTAATAACAAAGCATTTCGTATAAGCCAAAAGTATGGCAATAGATCAGTTCTAGATTTATCTAATCAGGCATACACCCCAAAATATATTCAGTGTTATTGGACCCGGCCTAACGGGTCAACCCGAAACCCAATCAACCATGGCCTAAACTGGACCGATTCATACTTTGGATTGTTTTAATATTCAACCCGCCAAATAGCTATTTGAACCGCCCGCACCCATAAGAACCAGGTGGTTTGACTAAATTGGATGGGTTACTGATTATTAAAAATTTAAAGGGTTTTCTGGAAGTTGGTCCACACTCGTGCAGCTTTGGAAGAAGAAGGATAAACATATTTTTTTTTGTGTGGGACTTTAAAGACAACAAAAAGTATAAAAACTAATTTACCTTTAATGAAATAAATAGCTATATTACAAAATGTATAGTAACAACAATACGATAACAGCGACACAATAACAGTAAGAACAAAACAATAATAGTAAAAACAATAAAATAACAGTAACAACGATACAATAACAGTAACACTCACTGTCACATTAACACAATCACATTAACAACAATGTCCATGTGGGTAGGGTATAAGGGGCGATGGCTGAAAATGAAGATACTATAGAAAGTGACATGACTTGAGTATAGAGCGATGGTGGAGTAGATAGTAAAACGATCATAGTAACAACAACAAAGAAACAATAACAACCATAGTCACAATAAAAAAAATTATGTGACACTAGAGAGTAACATGAACTAGTTAGTCACACGATCATAGTAACAGCTACAGTCACAGTCAATCTATTTGAATATTTCATCAAACGCTATTTGGACATAACGTATAAACTAAAAAATGTCACCAAAATAAAAAATAAAGTAAAACAAAGAATTTCAAAATAAAAAATTAACAGTGACAACTAAAATCACTGTCAACTAAACATGTAGACGAAGAAAGTTATACTGAGTATTATTTCTGCTTTAGTCCTATATCTGGGGTCTGAGTAACCCCCCTCTTTCTCTCTCCCCAAGCCTCTGTTTGTAAAAACCTGCTTGTTCTTAGTAAATTTGATTTTTTTCCTTTGTATTTCCAATTCCTTACTTCTTCCCCTTCTTTTTGTTCTTTGCTTCTTGTATTTTGTTGCACTCATTGAGTGTGTAACCTAATCTTTTTATCAATCCGGTTCTCAGACAAAGTCTATACGATTGCTAGGGAGGTGTAAAGCAACCCCTTGTATAGGTTGGTATACTAAAAGGCTTAGTTTTAGATAGTCACTTTATGTCGGCTAATTAATCAACGCTATGAGATTAGGCATAAGGCATAAAAACCCTATTTTGTATATTCAAGAATAGGACTATCAAATGGTCGACTGCAAAATCCATCAGAGTTATAAATTCATATACTTTAACGATGCTCTCTATTAACGATTGTTTAACGAACTACTTTTCACTAACATTTTCATTTATATTCAAATTTAAAATAAGTAATTTGGTTGGTACAATCCACAGGAGCTCTTTTTGCATGCCACAAATGACTTACAAAGAAGAAGAATCCTAGAACAAAATGAAAAGTAGCTAACCAATTTCTATATTAAAAAAGAAAAAATGCTCAATTAATCAGTAAATTACATTATTTTATAAAACATTTCATTGAAAGAATCTACATAGATGTCTTTCAGTGTATCATTAATATTCCCCAAATCAATATACAACTTTTTCTTGAAGCAACATAAAAAGTTGGCTCATAGCTTGAGCATAAAAAAAAGAAAAGAAAATATACTATTGGACCTACTTACAAAAAAGAAAAGAAAAGATGTATCCTTAATAGCCCAAAAAGATTGCTTTTAAATCTATTGACAAAAGAGTTTTTCATATTAGACTTAGTTCTAATTTTCACAAATTAAAACACTTGTGAACCGGACAGGAACCAAATTGGATGTAAGATTATTTAATCTTGCACTTTTTCAGTTGTGGGCCAATTTGTGAAGTTAAGCAGTCCTAAGTGAAGCCCATTGTTGCATATTTGGGCCCCATGAGCCTGGGTCCATATTTGCCTATTCATTTTGTCAAGGCGGAATTATACTTTGTATTTTAAAAGATTAATTTTTTTAATATAATTAATTTTTTTAATATTATACCTTTAGGGCTCGTTTAGTTGTCGTATTGAAAATGAATGGATTAGATAAAGTAATACAGTCTAATACAATACAGATGGATTAAAGACAAGATTAAATATGTTATTAGAATAATGCGTAATTTTATCTTGTATTTGACAATACACAATATAAGCGTTGGATATTAGTTATTTAATCCAATCGGTTGTTCGATTAGAGAATTATTTCAATGTATTAATGTTGAATTAACAAAAATACCATCAATCAGTGTTTGTTACATTGATGACAACTTGAATTTATAACTTGAGAAGTTATAATAGTAAATGTGTAGAATAATACATTTAAGTTGAACTATAATACCATCTCTTTTGGTGGTATTAAAAAAATTTTATAATCCAAGTCTATCGTATAAAAAATATACGATAAGAATACGTTTTTGAAATTAATATGGTATCAAATTTGCACATTCTACCGATATCAACGGGATGATTTTTGATGGAATAAGAAACGAAAAGTAACAGAATGACTAAATTACAATATTTTAATACATTGAATATATAATATTAAAAATTTAATCTTTAAGAATGTACAAAAAAATCTTAAATTTTTTAGGTTACAAAAAAAGATTCTACCATCACGTAATGAATTCCACTAGCTAATACCTTACCCCATTTCTAATTTTTTTTCTCTTTTCTGATTGGTGCTTTAAAATATATTAAGACAAGTGTTAATTACAAGTGCGCTTCCAAGGGCACTACAACTCTACCTGCCAGAGGTTGGGCCTCAAGGTTGCTCTTACTTGATTTTACATATTGTATTCTTTTTATTTTTGCGAATATATTTAAATAATGGACTTGACTATGTTACCCAATACAAAAAGTTTGTACCATACTTTCAAAATTTATATTTTTATGGGTGTGTATTACATTTATTCGGTATTGTATCTCTAAAATTTATTATTTTTGTGGGTGTGTGTTATAACTTTTGTATATATTTATAATTTTGTATAACAATAAAAAATTATCACTTTTGTAAGTATTTTTACCATCGTGGTGGTAAATATTTGTACCACTTTTCTTCAGTGCAAAAAAAAATAAATTTATCACTTAAGTAAGTATTTATCACTATTGTGGTAATTATTTTTATCACTTTTATTCGGTACCACAACAATTATAAAAATACCTTAAAAAATGATAAATGTTGGTATGATGGAAGGATCGCAGAATAAACACCGCATAAAAATAAAGCTATTTATATCTACTTCCTTAATTAGGGGTGTTAATCGAGACGAGCTATTTAAGTATGACATAGATAAAACTTGGATCGAGCTCGACTTATGTTTTAAACGAACTGATATTGAACAAATTTGTGGGCTCATTTAGAAAAACGAGCCTAAAAGATTCAGTTCAAACTCGCAAAACTCGACTTGTTTATATGTAAAATAGCTGGGTTATTCGGGTTCAGCTTGAGCTCGGACTCAACTCGAGTTTAAAATGAGCTAAGCTTGAATAATTTTTTAGACTCATTTATAAAAACAAACTCGTTAAGCTCGGGCTAAAAAATTTGCAAAACTCGATTCAATTAACAACCCTATACTTAATCAAGGCTGAACTAGGTCAGTTAATTATCAAGGGTGAAGTGGGTTCCTATTGAGTGTTAATAAGTTTGTGTTAAAAAAAACTTCACCTATATCCGATTTGGTTATTAATTCTTCTTTAACGAACTATGTCATATTGAATTCATGTCGTATGTAATAGTATATATAAGACTTGTGTCTTATATTTTTCTTAATTAACTTCATTCATTTAATTTATTTATTAATTATAGTGTGTTGGATCTACTCGTTACGAAAAAATGAGTTATTTAAAAAAGATTCAAACCCTTTAATTTTGTGGATGACATTTTGACAATTCTAACTTGAGCTAATACAAAAACTAAAGCAAATTGTTTTCGGTAACGGTCCATGAGCATTGGGGCCTATAAATAATGGGCTTTACCTAAAATATGAAACCCACAACGAAAGGGTAATTTAGTAATTGTATCTGGAGAAGCTAAATATATGCGCTAGGGTTTTTCTGACCAAACCTCCTTTCGCAACAGCGCCCAAAGAGAAACCCTACCTCTCTCTCTCTCTCTCTCTCTCGTTTTAAGCATAGCCACGCAGTCGCTTCTGCAGAATTTAGTTCTTTGGTAAACTCTGAGCCCCTTCAATCGTATACTTTACATCTCTCTTAACAGTGTTTGATCCCTTCTGTGGTTGCTTATCATGTAGTTTGATCCGATCTGATTCATTTCCTATCATAGATTTTGTTGATTTTGTTTCAATTAATCAAATTGAGTCGATATCAGATATATATGCCTTTGTATTATATGTATGTGTTTATCTATTTGTTGAATGCCGCAGTTGTTTACATGAATCGTCCTTGTGGTTTCATGAATATTCGCTGCTTAAGGGTCCAAAGGTCACCTTTGGATGCTTTCGTGACGTGTTGTTACGAATGTTAAGGGTGTCTGGGTTTTTTTCACGAATGGACGTTTAACCTTTTTTTTATTTACATTCAACAATTGTATATGTATGATCTCATATGTATTAGGGCAGTGTTAGGTTGTGATTTGGAGGCTTGACAATCGGTTATTCTAATGGTCAAACCACTGAATACTCAACTCAACTAAAAAATGACTAGTCCCAACGTTTTTGGGGTCGGTTATATAATCCTCTATTAGGGGCTTAAATCGGAAGTTATCATATTTTTTTATTATTTTATTTAGAGTTAATTTTAATCTTACTCATCTCAACATTTACTGTCAATAATTATCATATCACTCCTTTTCACCAATCCTGTAGTAGGTCAAACCACTGAATGCAAAGCTAAAAGCTTGGATTTCTGCTTAACTTGGAGGATCTGTAAAATACTTAATTTATGTTATGTCTTACTGAAGTGATTTTGCTCAAAAAAAGTTTTCATTACAATCAAAATTGCTCTATTTTTGCTTGTGCAGTTTAGTAGTGATTTCTTCACACTGCAACTGTCTGTGTATGGTTGTCATATGTCTGTGTTATTGTTGTGAGACTAGTTTTGCTAGTGCATGGAGAATATCTGAACTTGGTGATAGTAGAGATAGCATTACAGTTGTGGTGCTTTGTAATGTACTCTAATAGTCCTTGTAGTGGTGAGGTGATTCAGACTTTTTTGTTATGCATATTGTTTTATATATTCTGATATCTGTCATGTGGGTTTATTGAGTTAATTATTATACCAAAATGAATGTACGGTCATTTTAGAAAGTGGCAAGCACGAATGTCTAGTATTGATCTGTTGTTTAATCCTTAATGGCTCATTGTTTTGAAGTATAGGTAGGTAGCATGGAAAAAATATAGTTGTTTATTCATTGATTCCTTGTTTCAATTTTTCTGCAGCCTTATTAGCAAAGATGGTGAGAGTCAGCGTCTTGAATGATGCTCTCAAGTGCATGTACAATGCAGAGAAGCGAGGAAAGCGTCAGGTTATGATCCGACCATCCTCAAAAGTCATCATCAAGTTTCTTCTGGTGATGCAGAAGCATGGTATGGACCATTGATTGTTGTCTGTATATTGTGTTGATTGATTTTTTAATTCTTTCTTATCGTTTTAACTCCTTGATTGTGTATGTTATCTCTTTGACTTTTATCTGTAGGGTACATTGGAGTGTTTGAGTATGTCGATGATCACAGGTCTGGGAAAATTGTGGTTGAACTGAATGGGAGGCTGAACAAATGTGGGGTCATCAGTCCTCGTTTTGATGTGGGTGTCAAAGAGATTGAGGGATGGACTGCAAGATTGCTACCTTCAAGACAGGTTAGCACAAAAAGCATTTTTTCAACTAGTCTCTAGGATACCTGCTGGCATAGTGACCTTAAAGGCTTGCATACTGTTTATGGGTTCTTCCAAGTAGATAACTGCCTCAAAAAATCTGATAAATATACATTATTGAACCTTTATCTATGTTTATTAGGTCTTGCAAAGCAATAGCTTACACAATGGAACTAGAGAACATACTAGATGAGCCATTTGAATCCTCATTCTCATTTGCTGGTGGGACACACATAGACTGTGAAATATTCTTTATATAAAGTTTATTTCTTCTGATTATGTTCACATCTTTTTGCCATAGAACTTTAGAAAAGTTATAAAGGGCCATGTTTTGGCACCACCATCATTAGATCAGGTTAATGCAGGTCAAATAGAATACCTAGGTTGCCTCTTCTAACCATACATCAGTTTCTTCATTTGGTATACTTTTTTGGATAGGGCAAATGAGTTATGACATATGTCTATATGGGTAATCTACTTTAGGTCCTTCTGGTGTTCATATTTATGGCATTTCTCTGATAAATACTGTCTGGCCACTTGCAGTTTGGATACATTGTGCTGACAACTTCTGCTGGCATCATGGACCACGAAGAGGCTAGGAGAAAGAGTGTTGGTGGGAAGGTGCTTGGTTTCTTTTACTAGGCTGGCGCTGTTTGGAGATTGAGCCTGAATTTTTTGAGTTTGATTTTTTCAGTTTATGCGAACTTTGTTGTTTGAACTTCTTTACAACTGCAATAGTTATTTTCTGTGTTTGATTATCCAAACTGCTTGGTTGATATTTCTCAAGGCTTTATATTCCCAATTGAATGCAATTTTAGGCTTTGATTAGTATCATTTCGTCGATACAGTCTTTAAATTGTTCTATGAGATAAAACCCCCTGTTTGCTTATGTTACAACCCTGCATGCCTAGTTAACAGATGCCGTAGAAGGGACGATTGCCTTGGGCCATCAAATTTGGAAAACTGTTAGATACATCAAGCATGGTGTAAATGATGCAAACAGAAGTATGCTGTCATGCCCATAAATGATGATAATTCTTCTTGAGCTCCGTTTACCACATTTTTAATAGATAATCTATTTTCACTCAAATTTTTATTTTAGATTTAAGTCGTAAATATTTAACTTATAGTAGTTCTGTCTTTGTACGAGTTAAATGGACTCAACTCTCTACGTTTAGAGACTCAAAAATCCTTTCTATGCATCTGTTGAGGAGGCATTTATGGTAGTAACATTTGCAAACATTGGGTTTTATGCTTTCTAAAATATGAGTAAATAATGGTGACACGTGGTATTACAAATTAATCATAAAACACAAATTAAAACTGGTAAATCTTATTATTTCAACATTAAAGTTATTATTAAATAAGATTGTTATATTGGTTGTTAATAAAATAATGTAACCTATTAATTATATATATGATATTTTATAATTGGTTAGTGATATTACATAGGCATTCAATAATTTCAAAAGATGTAAGCTGGACAGTCAATTTTTATTCGCTCTGCCGGGAGATGAGCAAGTGTAAACAACATGAACTGATTGCTCAGACAAGACACTCAGACAAGTCTCCATTTTTATGATTACCTGAAAATGCTTTGTTCATTATGTGTTTTTTTTTTTTTAATGATTGTTGGTCCATATAATTCATCATGTATTTGGTGATAGGTGATTTACCTTTTAGAAAAATGAAGAAAACGAATATAAAAGAGAACCTTGATCCAACATTAAATGGCATGATTTGTACCCTCATTAAAACGGAAAGGGAATTGGTGGCATTCTAGTCTATGTCCCGACAAAATTACCAATTAAAAAAAAAATCCAACGATCAACCCATAGTTCAAGGCAGCACCGCACGTAAATAATCTAAACTAATAACGATGATAAATTCTGAAGATTGCTTTATATTACATATAAATAGAATTTATTCTTATAAATGTAAAATTTATGTTACGCAAAGCATTCTTCACAAGAGACTATGATAAAAATGTAAAACATATAATAATGATGCTAGAACTAATGTAATTGGAAATATATTCCTGAGTTCGTGATAACAAGTGATGGAGGTAGCAAGAAAGAAAAGCCAAGTAGAACATCTGTGTTCAAATACTAGCTAATATAACTATATAATTCATTATTATAGCAAACATACAATGCCAAAGGTTTTTAGTTGCCCTAATGGTGAATCACCATCATGACTTAACCTTCACAACGAACCCTCTCGCCATCCTCGTCATTGTTACTGCCAATGTTGCCATTGCTATCACCACCCTCGCCGCCCGGCCTATCAAAACCCATCAGAATTTTCAGAGAGATACTGGTTAGACCAAGTTGGAGGTGATGTTCTTGCAGCATGAATGGTTGACAGAGAAGTTCATGAAATTTGAAGAGGGAGAGCTTTTGGGTTTTGTTAATGTCTTTTGTAGGAATGGATGGTGGGGGGAGTATCTTCTTAGCATATACTTTGGAACCCAACTTTTTGCATTCTCTGTTCTCACTTTTGGCAATTTTCAATAGGTAAAGAAAGAGACCACTAAAAATGAGAGATCTTAAGCAGATTCCACCATAGCCAAAATGTCCCCTAGGTCAGTTGCTAAGCTAAGGGAATTGTGACTCACTATGATGGTTACACGTGGCATGCATCAAAGTGATTAGACCCATGAAACGGATATACCAGTGCCACTAAGAGGTCACAATCCACAAACACCTTGTTGGACCCCTGCACTAGGAAAAACTATTCGTCCTAACATTTACATCGCATCATCATGTTAAATCTGTTGATGTGGTATAAAAGTTTACCTATCAATATCAAGTAATAATTACTCGTATGAAATTTATACCTATTTATTGTTTGAACAGTTACACCACGTTAACAATGTCATGTGATATAACCATAAAATAGAAATATTACAAATAGATAAAATAAAGCACATTTCCTTACATAGAGGAGGTTATGTAATAAATGGCTGGGTAATTATAAATTTTTGTAGGACTCACTTATATATTTGTTTACTTATTAGTGGACGGTTACACCACGTGACAATACTGATGTGGTGTAACCATTATACCCAATATTTTCTCCCTAGTTATTAGCTTATGAGTAATACTATTTGAATTTAAAAATATGATTTAATTTGTTAAAATAATGATATGGCTTCATAGATATCATTGGATCAATACCAAATTTCAATATTTAATGGGATTTACAGTCAATCCAAATGTCACAGTGAATTAAATCAGTAAATTATTGCTCTTAGCTTATATGGACAGGTAGTTATTAGCAATGTCATGGAATCCCTTTCATTATTAGTTGGTGGTACAATATGGCAATATTGACGTGGTATCGTCGTTGCAATGAATATTTCTCATAATTTAGGTTTGACATCTAGCCTGGACAGACTACCTAGTCCGTCAATTTATTATTAAATAATAATATCACATGACAGTATTAACGTGATATCTCCGTTATATTAAATATTTACCAATTGAGAGATTGGTTGTTCTCGTGCCCTTAACTTGTTAACAGGCTGGACTGAATCTCCCAAATGGATCGGCCTATGCCATACTCATCGGGTGGTCATAATGGCTATGGGCTGATTTTGTAGGCCCGCTTGTTGGGCTTTGCAGGTAAAAAACCTCCGTTCTGGCCTCGAGTTGTCGGAGTATCCACAGCCCGCCACATGACAGATTGGGTTGTTCCATTGGCCCAATGGTCTGACAGGCTTTCGAGGCAGTATGTGAGCAGCACATATAGTCTTTTAGCCTCATTAATATTAGGGAAATCATAGGTCCCTAAATTTTGTCTTGAGTTTCAATTTGGTTTTTGAACTTTTAGTTGTCCATTTAATTTTTGAATGATTAATTTAATTTTAATAAATTTTTTCATCAATTTTCATTGTTAGATCAACTGAAGATTAGCCCAATATGATTCATTTCCGTGTTGATCTAACGGTAAAAATGAACTGAAAGATTTAATTGAGATAAAATTGATAATTGAAAAACTGAATTAATATAGTTAAAAGTTCAAGAACCAACTACACTTGTTATGCTTAATATTATTATTTGAACGCATGGTAAATTCGACCCCCCAAAAAAAAGATCATGGCAAGTAAACATGAGAGTCGATGGTGGTTAAAAATTGAAAAGAAAAAAATGTTAATACACTTGGACTAATATTCTCTTTAATTTGGTCAAATACAAGTCATCCACAATGGAATTAGGATATTCATGAGAGATAAGTTTCTCGTGGTCTGACCTCAAAGAGATTGTCAAGATTCGAACTTAAGACGTCCGAATTTATAATTTATCCATGCTAACCCTTGAATTACTCCTTGAAATTAATAATCAAATTATTTATAATCAAAACCAACCACTTCTTTTTTAATATATGCGATATATGTAATATAAAGTCATAAGTATAAGATATAGTCTAAGATCATTTATTTTATGTGCAAACCAAGAAATAGAAGAATCAACCCGATGGCTTTCTCCCTTTGAAATTATTCTCATACAAATACAAGAAACCAAAGACAATTACTCCCCCACCACCACTACTCTCCTTGATTGGAGGTCAACACTGTGGCCTGACGAAAAAATGAGTATTTTATTTTTGTTGCATAAAATAAATGTGAAATGCTGAGAGCCATATATGTATTGATCAATGATAATACATCTTTTTAATATAAAAATTACACAATTATCCAGACTTATTTCGATAAGTCAGTAACTCATAACTTTATAAAACAGGATTAAATGTATTGGATAAAATTTTCTCACTCAAAAGAGTTATTTATTCTTATTTGAAAAATAATTGTCCACCAAAATTAAAGATTATCTCAACTAGGCTTCACAAATAGAATTTTTCTAAAAATACCCATTGAAACAAACTTACTGGGAAGTTGAGAAGAATCAATTATCTTGCCTATTTTTGGAATCATAAAAAAATATTGTGTTTCACTTTGATATATTTATTATAGCCATTGGTTTTATATATGTGATAGAGTAATTTAATTTTTAATATTATTATATTTTTTCCATGCTTAAACTAATAAGTTTTTGATGAGTTGATGATCTTTTTGCCCCCTCTAAGTCCAAAACTTTGACTCCGCCCCTACCAAAGGAGAAACAAAAGTAAAAATGTAAACTATAGGTCCGATTTCTCGACTGTTGATTAAAATAATGTCATTTTATATAAAAACAGTGTTTTTTCCTTGTGCTATAGTGATGTCACTCCTATTTATATATCCGCTAAATAGTGTATAATTTTTTGAGGCCCTCAACATTTTTTTTGATATTTTTGTTATCAATCCTAAAAAATGGGATCGATCTCATTTATTTTAAAAAATTATAATTTAAACTTTAAAAATTATTAGACGACCTTATTATTTTAGGATCGATCTAGTTTTTTTTTTTTTTTATTGTAATTGGACTCTAAAAACTTGCATTTTAGTCCATAAAAAAGTTATAAATTTCAGTACCGTACTTCTTCCGTCAACAAAGTTTTTTTATTTTGGAAAAATTTCAGTTATACCCTTTTTAATTTATTATATCTTCACATACACTAATTCTATTATCCAAAACATCACTGACATCTATTCTAATTTATATTTTAATATCACTAACACTCCTACCGTTAAACCATCATTTTTAACAAAAAAATTCATCTAAAATATTAAAATTGTCCTTACATAAACTTCAAATAATTTTTCTACATAAAATTCTATTAAAATTTGAGCTGATCAAAATTTATTTTTTTACATATTAAAATTCAGGCTGATTAAAATTTATTTTTTTACATATTAAAATTTTAGCCTATTAAAATTCAATTTGAGCTAATTAAATTTTACTTTTTTCCTTATTAAAATTTGGGCCTATTAATTTTTTTTATGTATTAAAATTCGAACCGATTTTGAGTTCAACCTGAGTTATTAGCGTCGATTAAAATTTGATTCGAGTTGATTAAAATTTATATTTTTTTAATTGTTAAAATTCTTATCAATTAAAATTTGGTTCAAGTTGATTAAATTTCATTTTTTATGTATTAAAATTTATATTTTTTTTCATATCTAAATCAGGCTAGTTTAAATTCAATGCGAGTTGATTAAAATTTGATTCAAACTGATTAAAAATATATTTAATTGGTCCGAATTTAATATGTAAAAAAATTCATAAAACAAATGTCTCATTAAAGATATGTCTATCTAGAAGGGGTGTGTATGAATTTTTTCGTAAAATATATCATGAACAATTTAGTAAAATTGTATTCTAATTAAGACTTTTAATATGATAGGAGGTGCCGGTGAAAACTATAGAAAATAGAGGGAGTTTTTTTTATGTTTGATATGGGTTTCTAGTGTCTTTCAAAAATTATTATAATTATTTATGTGTTTCTTATTTATAACTAAAAGCATAAGAAATCACGTTGCCAAAGAAAATGTGATTCCAAAAGCATGAAAAGTCATACGAATCTTATAATGGTTGATTGGGAGCAAAATAAAGTGTATGATTGGGTGAACATGACATTTTAGATTCAATCTACAAATTCGATGTCAATTTGATATAGAATTAGTTAGTTTAGATGGACCTTTGGTGGGTTCAGATGTCAAATAAATAGATTCGTTAGAATCATTTAATTAAACGGATGAAAATTTATAAATCGAAAATGATTCGTTTATGAAACAAGTTACTTGACATGACTCATTTAATTCGATTAATTAATTTTTATTATTATTATAAATAAAAAAATAATTATTAAACTTTTTTGATCTAATCTAATTATTAAACTATATATATTATTTTGAACTAAAAATGAAAGTTTGCAATGGGCGTGGTCCAAAGAATGTGGTTCAAAGCACATTTGAGAAATCAAAATAGAAAAGGTATGTCTAGATTTTTATTTTATACCCAAAAGATTTTTTTTTTTTTATAGTATATTCTGAATGTCAGAAATAAATTTTAATATGGCCTTCAAACTAACTTCTATTTCAAATTCCATTAAAAATTAATTTACTTGCCATTACCGAGTGTGTTGCTCTTGGCTAAAATGCATCGATTTTTAAAAGAATTTGAAATGGATGTTATTCTGAGGGTCATATTAGAATTAATTTATGATATTTTTGTAATATAGAAAAAATAATTTTTTAGGGTATAAAGTACGAATTGAGATATCTTTTGGGGTACAAAGTGCAAAAATCCAAATAATAAAAGGAAATTAGAGAGTAATTTCAGTTTCCTTCCGGTAGATGGGGAAGAAAGAATAATAGCATATATGAGCGACCGAGCAGGTGATGAAAAGTCATCGTTTTCCCTGCGATTTCGCTCTGGTCGGCGTTCACTACTAGGGTTCATATGAGCACCTCTCATTCGATCTCTCTTCTCTTCCTCTTTCTTCGTTTCTCAGGTATTCATTTCGTGAACCTTTCATGTTCCACAATTTATTAAGCTTCTATTTTCATTCCATACCTTTACCATGCCTTTTCATTTCAATATCAATATTTTCATTCTAAATTACGCCTGTATAGATGTGTGTATTCATGAATTATTGACGACTTTTTAAGAAATTTTGTTTTGACATCGATTCTATACATGCAATTTTCGCTGTTTGATTCGTTTGATCTTCAGTTGATTTCTTTGGGTTTTAATTCTGAATAGAGGTTGTTAATTTTTGTATTTTTTTTTTGTTAATTCACTTTTTGATTTTTAGTTGGCTATAATTTTAGATCCTATACTGTTGAGTGACCTTGGATGTAATATGGTCGTATTTGTAACAGTGAAACATTGTGAATTAGCAAAAAAAATAAAATTTAATGCTTGGACTGTCAATGGTATTTGGATTTTTCCCCCTGAGCTTTTGATGCTCTCCTTTTATATCCTTCGCTTTATTTATTTGTTGTTTGTTTAGGTTAACGTCTGTTCCATTGACAGAAGAGGGAAGTGACTATTTGTAAGCTGTGAGTTTGTTTAAGGAAACAATTGGTGAGTTTGTACTTTCTATGCGAAATCAAATAGATTGAGGTACTTTTGAGGATTTGGTTTATTTGCAATGGCCTGGTTTAGAGCTGGTTCTAGTGTGGCAAAGCTTGCCATTCGGAGGACTTTGTCGCAGGGTGGTTCACATGCAGCAAGAGCTCGGGTTATTCCATCTCAAAATCGATATTTTCAAACGACTGTTTTCAGATCAAATGCACAATCTGCACCTGTTCCTCGACCTGTTCCACTCTCCAGGTTAACTGATAGTTTCTTAGATGGGACTAGCAGTGTTTACCTAGAGGAGCTTCAGAGGGCTTGGGAGCACGACCCAAACAGTGTAGATGAGTCGTGGGACAATTTCTTTAGGAACTTTGTTGGCCAGGCAGCCACATCACCTGGGATTTCAGGCCAAACTATTCAAGAGAGTATGCGGTTGCTGTTGCTTGTGAGAGCTTACCAGGTTAATGGTCACATGAAAGCCAAGTTGGACCCATTAGGTTTGGAACAGAGGGAAATTCCTGAGGATTTAGACCTTGCTCTTTATGGCTTCACAGAAGCAGATCTTGATCGAGAATTTTACCTCGGTGTTTGGAGGATGGCTGGGTTTTTGTCGGAGAATCGTCCTGTGCAAACCCTTAGGGCAGTATTAACAAGGCTTGAGCAGGCTTACTGCGGAAGTATTGGCTACGAGTACATGCACATTGCTGATAGGGACCAGTGTAATTGGTTGCGAGATAAGATTGAGACTCCAACACCAATGCAATACAATCGGCAGCGTCGTGAAGTTATACTTGACAGGCTAATGTGGAGCACTCAGTTTGAGAATTTCTTGGCTACTAAGTGGACTGCAGCCAAGAGATTTGGGCTTGAAGGTGGTGAGACTTTGATTCCCGGCATGAAGGAGATGTTTGATAGAGCGGCAGATCTTGGGGTTGAAAGCATAGTTATTGGAATGTCACACAGAGGGAGATTGAACGTTCTGGGTAATGTTGTTAGAAAGCCACTGCGTCAAATATTTAGTGAGTTTAGTGGTGGTACAAAGCCAGTGGACGAAGTTGGGCTTTACACAGGAACAGGCGATGTCAAGTATCACTTAGGAACTTCTTATGATCGGCCAACTAGGGGTGGTAAGAGAATTCACTTGTCTCTGGTTGCAAATCCGAGTCACTTGGAAGCTGTGGATCCAGTTGTGGTAGGGAAAACAAGAGCGAAACAGTACTACTCCAATGATGTGGATAGAACAAAGAATATGGGTATTCTGATTCATGGGGATGGTAGCTTTGCAGGGCAAGGTGTGGTCTATGAGACCCTGCATCTTAGTGCTCTTCCTAATTACACTACTGGTGGGACCATACACATTGTGGTGAATAATCAAGTGGCCTTCACAACTGATCCGAAGGCGGGAAGATCTTCCCAGTACTGTACCGATGTTGCCAAAGCCTTAAATGCTCCCATTTTCCATGTCAACGGTGATGATATGGAAGCAGTTGTTCATGTCTGTGAACTTGCAGCAGAGTGGCGTCAGACATTCCACTCGGATGTAGTGGTTGACATAGTCTGTTATCGTCGGTTTGGGCACAATGAGATTGATGAGCCATCTTTCACTCAGCCCAAAATGTATCAGGTTAGGCCTGTTATATTTTTAAAGTTGCACAGAATTGGTTTCCTGTACTATTTATTTTGAACACTGTTTTCCCTATTTTAAGCCTGTTTGTTTCTTTGGTGGTATTTGATTGCTCTAGGCATCTTTTCTCACATCTTGACTTGATTGGGTGTTGGTAGGTCATTCGGAATCATCCCTCCGCACTTGAGATTTACCAGAAGAAACTTTTAGAATGTGGTCAGGCGACTAAAGAAGACATAGATAGGATTCACAACAAGGTCAACACAATTTTGAATGAGGAATTCTTATCCAGCAAAGATTATGTCCCACAAAGAAGGGACTGGCTTTCAGCATATTGGCTTGGATTTAAGTCCCCTGAACAGCTTTCACGTATCCGTAACACTGGGTATGTTGTGATTGGTAGTGCACAATTCCTTTATAACTGACCAAAGGATATCTATGCTTAAAATTTATGCTATCCGACAGGGTAAAACCTGAGATTTTGAAGAATGTTGGGAAAGCAATAACAACCCTTCCAGATACTTTTAAGCCTCATAGAGCTGTGAAGAAGATTTTTACAGATCGTGCAAAGATGATTGAAACCGGTGAAGGAATTGACTGGGCGGTTGGAGAAGCCCTTGCTTTTGCTACATTACTTGTAGAAGGTAATCATGTCAGATTGAGTGGTCAGGATGTTGAGAGAGGGACTTTTAGTCATCGGCATGCTGTAGTTCATGATCAGGAGACTGGGGAAATGTACTGTCCTTTGGACCATGTTATGATTAACCAAAATGAGGAGATGTTTACAGTCAGCAACAGGTATTTTCTGGCTATATTTCTTCTTTATCTTGTATTTGACTTCAAATCTGTCACAAATATCCCATTTAGGGATGATTTTTCACCCCAGTTATCCTTCCCTTCACTGATCATATTTATTTGGATGGCTGAAGCATATATTTGATAATACTTATATGTACTCTTTAGGATTGTATTATTACCATTGTCATCATTATTGTCATCATCATCATTGCCATACAGGTGTTAAAAGCAAAAAGAATTTTTCAGTGTGCATCTAGGGAGTTTATTTTACATGTAATTGCCCCCGATGTGTGTGTGTTAGATTGATGGTAGAATTAGTAATTGTGTGGACTCTTAATTGATGATTTGGTCACTCCAATTTTGGTTTGTTCTGCTATACTGTAGTCCTGAATTGTAGCCAGTAGTTGAGGTTGTTGTGATTTAATACGTTTTAAACCCATAGACAAACACACATAATCGAAGAACAAATTAAGAACATAAAGTAATAAGAAACAAGAAAGAATAAGACAAAGATTTTACGTGGTTCGGCAATTTGCCTACGTCCACGAAGCTGTAGGTTTTTTACTATTGAGAGAGAGGATTACAGAGAGCGGCTATATATTTTTATCCAACCCTAATCACCAAAGTAACGGTCTTTTATATGTCCTACGCACCGAGCTACAAAACAGACTCAAAAGTTTTCCTCGGGGGCGTTGCCCCCGAACCCCCACGAGGGCTACGACTTGGACCGCCCAAGCCTTTGTTCCATGGATTAAATCTCAAAAAAATTCTCATTAAAAAATCACACAACATTACTTTGAGTCAGATCATCATCCTGATCAATATACAAATTAGACTCCGCAAAAAAGCCCAACAGAGGTGGTGTAGATCATAGTAGGGAAGAATTAGGGACAAAAAAAGAAGAAGAAGAAGATGAGAAAAGAAGAGAGAATTTGAGGAAGAAGTAATATCAAGATTCAATATCAATAATCAAAGTCAACCAAAAAAAATATCATATCCCTTATATATATAGGGAGAACACAATCTTAAAAGAACTCTAAAAGAATATAAATAGTCATAATGACAACTAAGCTCCTGAAAAAGCAAAATGACAAATAACTTTTAATCCCTACGTCTACGCCTACTAAAACGAAATATAATTCGATTCGTATCATTTCCCCCTGCTGAAAAAAACTCGCATTCGGAGAGATACGATCATGACAATGCTCTAGAATATCAGGGTCAAGCTGACGAAACTCCTCCTTAGTAGTCCATGAATCATCAGTCCTGGATGATCTCTTCACCGAACAAGATAACGACGATATCCTCCATCCAAAGAGCCCACAATCTGATCGTCAAGTATATCTGCAATCTGGTCATGTAGCTGTGGTGGAAACGGTGGAAGAATAGGAACTGTAGGTGATGTTGATGACGAAGCAACTCCACCTGTAGGAACACCTATAGGCAACATAGGAGGCTCAAAAGTACCATGATAAGGAAACAAGTCCTCCACATTGAAAATAGGACTAATACTCATATTTGAAGGTAAGTCAAGGTGATATGCATTAGGGCCAAACTTATGAAGAATACGAAAATGGTCAGTGGTTTGAGCATGTAACTTTTTAAAAGAATTTTTAGGATAACGTTTAGGATGCACACGAACCATGACATAATCTCCCCCAGTAAAGTCTTTATTTCTAGGTGAACATCTGCAACCAATTTATAATTTTCATTACTTAATGTAATTTTTTGTCTTATGTCGGCATGCAAGTCATGAATATGCTGGGCAAAAGCTTCGGCTGAGTGCGAAGGGCGGGAATCAAGAGATAAAGGTAATAAGTCAATAGGTTGTTTAGGGGAAAGGCTATAAACAATCTCAAAAGGGGATCTACTAGTCGACCTGTTGACGGAGTTATTATAGTCAAATTCAACAATTGGCAACAACAAATCCCAATTTTTCATCTTTTCACCCACTAGACACCTAAGTAAATCTCCTAAGCAACGATAGACAACCTCAGTTTGACCATCAGTTTGGGGATGAAAGGCAGAGGAAAACTTTAGATTAGCTTTAATGAGTTTTCAAAGTGTCTTCCAAAAATAATTCACAAATTTGACATCCCTATTAGACACAATGGAAATAGGCAACCCATGTAGTCGGACGACCTCTCTAAAAAATAACTTTGCTACATGTGAGGCATTAGTAGACTTAGTGCAAGGAATGACATGGGCCATCTTAGAAAACCAATCCACGACAACTAAAATGGAATCATGACTATGAGCTGTTTTAGACAAGCCTAAGACAAAGTCCATACTAAGGTCTCTCCATGGTGTGTGTGGAACTGATAATGGTGTGTACAACCCAGTGTTTTGTTTCCTAGCCTTTGTTAACTGACAAGTGCGACACTGTGACACTATCCTAATAATGTCACGCCTTAAAGTGGGACAATAAAACCTATCCTCAACAAGTGCAAATGTCTTATCCCTACTAAAGTGGCCTGCTAGACCTCTCGCATGTAATTCCCAAATCAGGAAATCCCTAAGTGAAGTACGGAGAATACATAAGCGTGACCCTCTAAACAAGTACCCATCTCTAAGGAGGAAGTCAATGTACTCATGACAGTTATCAGACTAAACATCCTGAAAAATGATACCAAAGTCAGGACAAGAGGCATACTCATTTCTAATCCTGTCAAAGCCAATCACATGGACACTCATAGTCTGTAAAATAGCAACTACACGGCTAAGAGCATCCGCAGGTTTGTTTTCATTGTCCGCTCGGTGGTGAAGAACAAAAGTATACTCCTGAAGGAACTCAACCCACCTAACGCGCCTAACACTCAATTTTCTTTGGGAATGAAGGTATTGTAATGCCTGATGATCAAAATATAACAGACTCAGATGACAATAGGTAATATACCTCCAGTGGCGAAGAGCTTGTACCACAGCGTAGAACTTTTTGTCATATGTAGAGTATCGTTGTTTAGCTTCATTGAGTTTTTCGCTGAAGTAAGGAATAGGATGACCCTCTTGACTCAAAACTCTACCTATCCATACACCAGATGCATCACAGGCAACCTCAAACACCTTAGAAAAATTTGGGTGTTGAAGAACGGGTGCCTCTGTCATCCTGTGCTTAATTACTTGAAAGACTCTAGTTGCAACAAGAGTCCAGTGAAACTCCCCTTTTTTCATGCACTCTGTGATGGGAGCCATAATGGAACTAAACCCCTTAATAAAACGTCTATAGAAGGTGGCCAAGCTATGAAAGCTTTGAACTTCGGAAATTATTCTTGGCTCTGGTCAATTCCTAATAGCAGTAATTTTCTCTGGGTCAGCTGCAATACCTTGCATAGAAATAAAAAATCCAAGAAAAAACACTTGAGATTGCATCAAAGGAGCACTTCTTAAGGTTCGCATAGAATCTTTCCACCTGTAATGTCTGCAAAACCTGTCGAAGATGATCCAAGTGTTCTTCTTTAGATCGACTATGGATCAAGATGTCATCAAAATAAACTATCACAAATTTTCCTAGGAAAGGACGCAGTATCTGAGTCATAATCCTCATAAATGTGCTAGGTGCATTAGACAATTCAAAAGGCATGACCAACCACTTAAAGTCCATCTTGGGTTTTAAAGGCGGTTTTTCATTTATCTCCTGGTCTAATTCAGATTTGATGATAATCACTACGCAAATCAATTTTGGAAAACCAAAGTGCTCCAGCCAAAAGGTTAAGCATATCTTCAAGTCTCGGTATAGGAAATCAATACTTGATTGTAATTTTGTTAATGACACGACTATCAACACACATTCTCCAAGAGCCATCTTTCTTAGGGGTCAACAAAGCGGGGATAACATATGGACCAAGACTATGACGAACAGACCCTTTTTGCAACAATCCATTTGCTTGCCTTTGGAGTTCAGCATGCTCAGTGGGATTCATACGAAAATGGGGAAGATTAGGCAACTGAGATTCTGGAACTAAGTCAATAACATGTTGAACATCCCTCATTGGTGGCAACTCATCGGGTAGTTCTTCAGGGATCACATCATGGAACTCTCTCAATAGACTATCAACCTTAGGCAAAAGATCGTCTTTAGATTCTAAAGGATGTTGGACAATTTCTTTGACAACTAGAGTTACCACTATACCAGACTCTTTTCTCTCTTTTTTAAATTCCCTATGGGTCAAGATGTGAAGGTCTTTCTTATGAATTACTGGGGAAGATGACTTATGCTTTGAATTATTATCTTCTGAAGGTTTTGCATGTTTTAACTTAAAGATTTTCCCCTTATGCTTAAAAAAATAGGTATTTTCTCTCCCATAGTTTGTCACATTTAGATCAAAAAGCCACGAGCGACCTAACAAGACATGAGCGACATCCATGGGTAAGACATCACACCATATATGATCTTAATGGGGACCAACATCTCTGTGAGACTGGTAAGGAGGTCTTGTCAACCCATGCAATCTTGTAAGGTTGTGGGTGTGTCTCTGGCTTAAGCTGCAACTGATTTAGAGATGACATTCAATGAACTTCCCCCATCAATGAAAACCTTGCAAACTTTACCCCTACATCGGACTAGAGTACGGAAAATGCAGGTGCGTTTCCATGCTTCTGTGCCTGAAGGGGTGGATAAGATGCATCGCATCACGTTGACACGGATGTCATCGTTTTGCCATTCTTCCTCACCTTCGTCTAGTAACTCTAGGGGTTCCTCATCTAAAGGATCAACTTCTTAGTCAACATCCTTTCCATCAAATGAATTCCCTAACCCCTGGTCAATGGTCAAGGTACGCTGAGGGCATCGTGAAGCAATGTAACCCTTGTCATGACAACGGTGACACTCTATGGAAGAACTGTTCTAGCGAGAGCCCGTGAGTGTAGAATCTCGATTCTTGATCTCTAGTGATATTACCTCTCAAGTTAGGGTAATTGTTACCCTTGGATGTGACAGGCCTTGACTGGGTGACGCCTCGAGACCGATCAAATGGGACTAACCTTGATGGTTGAGATTCTCCGATTTGAGAAGGCATGCGATGCTGAAAGGGTGGCCTAAGGTATTGTTCAATCTCTAAGGCTTTATATTATGCTTCCTCAACCGTTTCGGGAGAGTGTAAGTTAATCTCTCTCTTAATCTCAGGTCTCAAGCTATTAATGAATTTTGTAACTGTTACCCAAAGCTCTTCCTTTATGTCACATCTCATAAAGAGCTCTTCAAATTGAGTTAGGTAATCAGTCATACTCAAGGTCAATTGATGCAAGTTCATCCACTTGTCCAAGAGTTGACGCTTATAGTAACTAGGGAGATATTTATCTCGTAATCTTTGTTTCATCTCAGTCCATAAAGTAATGGGTTGTCCCTCTAAGCGCTCTTGGTCTCGTTGGACTCCCTGTCAATATCTCTTAGCCGAACCAACGAGTTTCATTTTGGCAAAACGAACCCGATGGTCATCAAACATATCATACCAATTAAAATAGTCATCCATTTCATCCAACCAGTCTAAGAAAATTATAGGATCTAACCTACCATCAAAACAAGGAATATCCACTTTGACTTTTTGTGTGATATCCCTATATTCTTCGTGGACATGCCTATGTCGGGGATTATGGTAATGCGGAGGGGGAGGCCTATGGTTTTGGACACGTGGTCGAAATGGCTCATGATAACCATCCATATCACCCTCTCCTAAATAGTCAGATATGACTACCTTAATGTGATCCTCCGGAAAATTCCTATGACCTACGTTTCGTCCAAAAGTGGTATTAGTAGGTGGATGCCTATCTGGATACTGAGCTCCCTTGAGCTACCTGCGGAGTGGGTAGGACACCTTGACATGAGTTAGTAGGATCTATCGGGAGAGGCAGGTGCCTATCATGGTGTGTCTGTTTGAACTTAAGTGAAACTAGTGACTCACCCTGGTCATACTCTATTGGTCGTTTTTCAATAAATTTAGTCAATTGGGCTAGTTAAGTAGTAACTTGAGAAAGTTGTTGCCCCAGTCCTTTAACTTCCTCACGTAATAAGTCGACTGAGTGTTTAGCGTCGGTCACATCAATGGTGAGAGTCTCATATTTTTGTTCCAGTGCAGTATGGGACTCTGAAAGCTCTCAAAGGGTCATATTGAATATAATGTAAAATTTGGGCTAATTTAAATTGCCGACTAAACTAAAAATTAAACCAAGTAATATAAATCAATGTAAATAGCTACGTAAGAACAAGCTTTTTATAAAGAGATTCAAATAAAAGTGAGACAAGCAACAATGAGTTTAACAAGGAATTGGACAAGTTAAGTTATGAAGGTGGTGTGTAGGAACAACAAACAAAGAAAGTTTAGGTATTTTTTTTTTAACTTACCAACAAATATAAATACTAATCACCAATTCTCTACGAAAAGAACTCATATCTGGTGTTATATGCAACTCCAAGAGGATATTTGACAAGTTAGAGGATGATCCTACAAATTGTAGAACTTTTTGAGGTGTTTCTGTAATTTCTGGAACTTCTGGAATGATGCTTTTGTAATTTTTTGAATCTGTTGGGGATGTTTCTGTAATTCTGGAGTTCTAGATAGTATTTCTGTAATTTACTAAAACTTATGGGGGTGATTCTGTAATTTTAGAATTTTCTGGGGGTGATTTTGTTATATCAATACTTTTGGATAATATTTCTGTAGTTTACTAGAACTTTTGGGATGAGTTTACAATTCTTAGGAGGTCTTCTTCTTCACGATGCTTAATGGTTAAGGGTTTCACTATAACCCTAACCTTCACAAATTTGCTATGAAAAAAACAATGAAGACAAGGGGCAGTGTGACTGATGAAGACAAGGGCAGCGATGAAGACAGTCGTGACGAACAGTCGCAGGGAACAGTAATGATGAATAGTGTGCGATTTTTTTTTTTCCTGTTGGAACGAGACCAGAATAGTGGAGATTAGAATAGTATGTGATGAACAGTTTTTTTTTGGTTCTGTTGCAACGAGATGAACAGTGAACAGCGAACATGGGCAGTGAACAGTGCGCACGAACAACGCGTGAACAGTAATTTGGCTAACATTTTTTTTTCTTTTTTAATGAACAGTATTGATGAGATTTTTGTGATTTGTATGAATCGAAGTTGAGCTCTGATACTAAATTGATGTAGATTGTAGTAGGGAAGAATTAGGGATGAGAAGGGAAGAAGAAAGAGATGAAAAAAGAAGAAGAAATAGATGAGAATAGAGAGAGAATTTGAGGAAAAAAGAATATCAAGATTCAATATCAATAATCAATAATCAAAGTCTACCAAAACAAATACCATATTCCCTATATATACAGGGACAACACAAATCCTAAAAGAACTCTAAAAGAAATAAATAGTCATAATGACAATTAAGCCCCTGAAAAACATGACAAATAACTCCTAATCCCTACGTCTACGCCTACTATAACGAAATATAATCCGATTCCTATCATAAGGACAGTTTTCCATCGCAGTGATGACTCCTCGACTATCTGTAGACTTTCGGGGAGAATTGCCTTAGATACCTAAATGGCCATCATATAAACTAATTCCAAAGTCGTCATTGAATGCCCATATTGTTTTTGGTGGTTTTCACTCTTTTGGTACATGCAAGGTTTTGATCCTTTATTCACTTTTCAGTAAGATGTCTTTCCTCAAATTTGAATGGAATTCACTCTGGCCTAGTTGATTTTGAGATTATATTGATCAATATCTGTGCAATCTTTGGTTACCAACATTGCATTGGCTTATGTGTCTAAAATGATTTCTCTATGAAGGGGTGATGCAGAAGCTATCATAATTGATGTCACAATAAGTACAATTTTGGGGAAGTAAAGGGTTTATTTTACTTACCAAGATAGAAACAGATATCACTCTAAAATTACCAGAGGAGATTCTCCAGCGGTATCATTGACATTACCATAATCCTTTTCATTATCAATGTCAGTATTTCTACTACAACTATTAGAATAAGACTTAAGAATGTCAAACTGTTAGGGAGGTTTCGAATTGATGTCTTAAGGTTCACAATTCTGTTTTGCTAAGAAGATGGAACAACCGTCCTCTTGTTTTGCTACTCTTATTACTACGTTAGACCTAATTTTTTATTTTTTTTGTTAGTTAGGCTAATAATCTTGAAGATATACATTGTGTTCATTATTACGAGTCTCACTCAACTGGTGATTGACTCGAAGGATGGCTCGGTCGAGTCGGCCAAGTTATCATTGTCAAATCGCATCATATGAACCATTATTACTCTGCAACGCCTCAATATGGCTTGGATCCAACTTCACTTCTTCTTTTGTCAACCATTTCGTACATGTTTCCTGATACCGTTCTGTGATGCATGTCAGTGCCCTTGGAGTCGATGGTTGTGACCTTGAATTATTTCGTACAATAACTCAATGTATGATGCATGCCAGGTGCACCCTCATTTTTCTGACTGCCCAAAAGCATGCGGTGTTATAACTCTTTAATATATGCATTAGAAATTGTGAACACCATTTTTGCAGCCTTTATATTTTTCATCTGCACATTTCTACTCCTTAGATTCATTTTCACTTTAAAGTGGAACTGTCTGTTCTTGGCCTTATTTTATTGCAATAGAGAAACAATCTAACTTATACCTAAGATACAATGGAACTGCAACGATTGGTATTAAACCTCGTGCGCTGCATATGAATTGTGAAATTTATAACTAGATGTCAATTTTTTTTCCTTAATTAAGCTCCATAACTTCATCAATATTATCTTTGTTGCCATCCAGCTCTCTCTCCGAGTTTGGTGTTCTGGGATTTGAATTGGGTTATTCAATGGAAAATCCAAATTCATTGGTGTTGTGGGAAGCTCAGTTCGGTGATTTTGCAAATGGGGCTCAAGTGATATTTGACCAGTTTTTGAGTAGTGGAGAGGCCAAGTGGTTGCGACAGACTGGCTTAGTTGTGATGCTACCTCATGGTTATGATGGCCAGGGCCCTGAACATTCAAGTGCACGATTGGAGCGCTTCCTTCAGGTATTGCCTTATCATAGACTGGTATTAATAAGTTCCTTCTGTTGACAATTCACCTATGGGTTGAAAACACGGGCTTAATCACACATCCTTTTTTTTTTTTTATTTAATCACCCATCTTGTAAAGACGTTTGTTTCTGATTCTTTCCTTTCTAAATTCCTTATCTTGTTCTTTGGTTGTCCTTTTTGGGGAGTCAATTCGTGCAGACACAACAAAAGAAAAAAACAATTTTGAATCCTCTTTTCCAAAAGTATATGTCTGTATGCCCACACCTTTAACTGATATACACTGAATAATTTGATGGCAGATGAGTGATGATAATCCATTCGTAATACCAGAGATGGATCCAACTCTTAGGACGCAAATCCAGGAATGCAATTGGCAGGTTGTGAATGTAACCACTCCGGCAAATTATTTCCACGTACTGAGACGTCAAGTAAGTGCAGCTAACTGGTGTTTATAAGCCTTTATGCTTTTAGTTGATTTTTGTTTTTGCTCTCTCATGTGTTATGTCTTCATCTTCCAGATACACAGGGAATTCCGAAAGCCTCTCATTGTGATGTCTCCAAAGAATTTGCTTCGCCACAAGGATTGCAAATCCAATCTTTCTGAATTTGATGATGTCCAAGGCCATCCAGGTTTTGACAAACAAGGGACCAGATTTAAGCGCCTAATAAAGGACCAGAACTACCACTCAGATCTCGAGGAGGGTATCAGACGTTTGGTTCTTTGCTCAGGAAAGGTGTGACATTCTTTTGTTGCTTTTGCCCCCATAATTTTATTTGAGCCCATATGCATGCGAATTTATGTTTAGGTAACATCTGATAGAACTTAAAGATGTTTTGCCTTAAAATTTACCTGGCAGAAGGGCCAGGCATGTGAATAGCCTGTCCTTACAAAGCAAAATACAGAAATAATGACAATGTACGATACCCATTTGTTCAGGTTTACTATGAGCTTGATGAAGAGAGGAAGAAAGTTAATGGCAAGGATATTGCAATATGTAGGGTGGAGCAGCTTTGTCCATTCCCATACGATCTTATCCAGCGCGAACTGAAGCGTTATCCAAGTATGCATCTCAATCTTGCTACTAAAGTGAAATTTACCATTACTGTCCTGTACTATCCAGAGTGGTCTGTTAGCGTTGAGTTGAATTATCTTTCCCTTTGTGCATAGTAAGATTCACTATTGCCATGTGCATCAAAGATCTGTTTAAGTTACTTTTATGGTCACCATGCCAAGATGTCCCCTTTTCTTGATTTACTTCAGCACTTGGACCCAGGAATCTGGTCTGTGTGTCAGTAAATTTTGCCAAGAATTAAAGAGTTGTGAATACACCTTATTTCCATTGCATGTTTTATTGACTCGAAAATCTGTGTCCTGTTTCAAATATTTAGTTGCTGTGGAGCTGAGGGACTGGAATTCGAAAATCATGGTTGGTCATTTAGGTACAGCAGTATGCTGTTGACACCATGCAATGCAACTAACTTGTTTAAATGTTCTATATGTCAAATTTTCAGATGCAGAGGTTGTTTGGTGCCAGGAAGAGCCGATGAATATGGGTGCATACAGTTACATCGCACCCCGCCTTAGCACTGCCATGAAAGCCCTGGGCAGAGGTAGCATGGATGACATCAAATACGCAGGCCGTGCTCCATCTGCTGCAACAGCCACTGGTTTCTATCAGTTCATGGGAAAGAGCAGAGTGAACTCGTTCAGAAAGCTCTTCAGCCTGAACCAATTAATCAATCCTAATTGAAGCCTCCTAGTACTGATCAAGCGCAACGGAGATATGCCGAGTGGAAGATGCATTCTTGGTGGACTGAAAATTATCGGTAAAGTATGTGGTTCTTTAGCAGAGGTGCTATCATACAAATGCTCTCTCTGTGTTCTTTGTTTTTGCATAACCGAACTCCGTTTTCAGATTCATAGAGTTTTGCAGAGGTGTGTCAGAATAAAACAGTTTCAAGTGGAATTTCATCATTATTCTGCACTTTGATATTTTGCTTATATCTGCAAACAATTTTGCGGATTCCCTTGAAATAAAGGATAAGAAATGTAAGTTGGTCGACTGTTTGCAGTTCTTATCGGTAGGGGTGTCAATCTTATTGGGTTAAAACTTAAACAGTTAAGTCGGTAATTTTTTTTAATAATTATTTATTTATTATTATATTAAATTTATTTAATCAAGTAATAAACGAGTTGATATGTCTCACTCGAACACGACCCGTTTATTATTGGGATTGGTGAATCCACCCATTTATCACCCGAACTTGATAAGGTTTTACCAAAATTCGTTTAATTTTGTGTCGATGAATCGTGTGTCATCGTATTGAATTTTGACAGTCTAATAGGTATTGTTTCATAATGCCCCTTCTAAAAGTATTTTTTGACCGTTTAAGTACTCTTTAAGTTATTTACTTATTTATTTTTTGGCTTTTCGTTGCCCGGGCCCCCCGGCATAGGCTTAAGTTTCTATATACAACCTTACTTGGGATGAACTTCCCATACTTATGTATCTATATGCTGGTTTTGCCATTCATATTGTTCATCTTTCTTCTCTCAGTTGTTGATTACGAGGTTTATTCCCCCGTGTCTGTTACTTTTTGGATTACTGGTTCATCTACAAGTTTTGTTATTTGATCTTAATTTGGGAGAAAAACAACTATTATAACCGTATTATGGTCTAATACTTGTTTAATTTAGTCATGTAACTTTTTAAAGTAGCGTTTGGGTTTGTCTTTAATCGATCTTACTCTCTATTTCAAGCTTAATTGAATATGTAGAGGGGTGACAATTGTGCCGGGCATATATGTGTCGTGTCATTTAGGGGTTTGTGTCAAACGCTAGTCACTCCTCCTAACTTAACTAGTTTAATTGATATTGTTGTGTCAACTCAATTTGTGTTTTTTTTTGGGTGCCGTATTCATGTTGTTCCACATAATCTGTGAATAAAAAATTTAACACTAAGATTTAAGTTTAAAATTTCATTATCACTCAATCGAATGTGTTTGTACTTTTTTTATAAAATTAAAAATATAATAATAAAATAAGTAAATATTTTTTTTTGTATAAGAACTACTTTAAAACTTGATAAAAAAATAACAAAAAATAGTATTTTATTCTTATAATACTAGTTAAAAGTATTGATCATGTCGATTTTGTGGTATGACGTTGCACATTCTCGAGATTTTTAGAGATTTTTTTGGGTGAGTGATGAGTTACCTAAGACTTCTACCGATTGTTGTTTAAACATTGGATCGCACCACGTGTCTTTTCTTGATTAGACATATTTTGGTGTAAATATATATATACTAGTTATTTCATGTGGCTGAATGCACAGAGTAATAAAAAATGATAAACAATAATCATATTTGTATTCATATCTAAAATCAAATTACAAATATAGATGAGAGACAAATGAATTTAATTATCGGTTGTAATGGGGGTGAGAGATGGTGGGCAGTAGTGGTGATGGTAGGAGACGGTGATTATTGTAGTAGGATGACAATGACTGTGGTGGCGGCGGCGGCGACGACGACGGTGGTGGTGGCAGTCGCCACAGCGGCGACGACGATAATGGCGGTAGCAGCGGCAGAGAAGGCGATTGCGGCGACGACGGTGACAGAGGTAGTGGTGGTGGTAGAGATAGTGGTGAGGCGATTTCAAACACTATTTTTTTTTAAAGTACTTATGAAAAAAATTCTTATAATTACTTTTAAAAAGTCACTTCAAACATATCCTTAAAGACTTATTTTTCCTATTAAATTTAGATTGTTAATATTAGCCGTTGGATTAACTTTAAAGTAAAATTTAAAGCGATCTGAACCGCGAAAAGTAAAAGTCATTTTGTTTATCTTTTGAAATTTAAATTGTAAACTAGTTTATTTTTTTTATATATATAAGTTATTGCTTGTGCCTAAAGACACGAGTAAAAAAAAATGTTCAATAACAAATATATTTGTATTCACATTTAAATCAAATTACAAACATAAAGGAAAAAGAAAATAATTTAAGCACCAGTCACAGTGGGGGTGAACAGTGATAGTGGTGGTGCGATGGGAGACGGTGATAGTTATGGTGGGTGGTGACGATCATGGTGATAGTGGCAGCTGTGAGTGACAACGATAATGATGGTGGTAGATTTTGGGTGACAATGGTGATAGTGAGAGCTATGGGTGACGGCGACGGTGGTTGTGGAGGATGTGGGTGGTGTTGGTGGGTAACGGTGATGGTGGTTGGCAGTGGTGGTGGTGGGTGGTAACGATGGTGGTCATGAGCGACGACAAGTGTTTCTGGGCGACAATGTGATAAATGGTGGCGAATGATAGTGGTGGTGGTGGTTGTGGTAGGTGTGGTGGGGGTGGGTGATAGTGGGTGACTGTAGTGGTGGTGGGTTATGGTAATGGATGCAGTGGGTGGGTGCTGATGGTGGATGACAGTGATAATGAGACGATGGTAGTAGTTGTAATAAATATACGAATGAGATGACGATGGTAGTGAATGGTGGTGAAGGATGACAGTGATAGCAATTGGTGGTGGGGATGACAGTGGGGTAATGGTGGTGAGGTGGGGGTTGTGGTGGTGAGGTCGTGGCGACGACGACAATGACGATGACGGTGATGATGACAATGACAGTGATGGTGAGGGTGGTGGGAGTAAGGGTGGGGGTAGTGGGGATGATGGTGGTGTGGGGCAATGGGGATGGTGTTAGTGGGGCAGTGGGGGTAGTGGTTATGGTGGGGTAGCGACAATGATTATGGCGGCGGTGACGGTAGTTGAGGTGGTTGCTGTGGCACAGGTGATGGTGGCGATGATAGTGGTGATATTGGTGGTAGTGGGGCAATGAGGGTGGTAGTGGTGGTGGTGGTGGTTGTGGTAGTGTTGATGGTGGTGGTGGTGAGGTGGCGACAGTGTTGGTAAGGATGATGGTGGTTGTTGTGGTAGTGGTGGTGATGGGGTGACGGTGGCGGCGGTAGTGGTGGTAGTTTTAAACACTATTTTTTTTAAAATACTTATGATAAATTATAAGTTTTAAAAACACTTTTAAAAAGTCACACAAAACACACCTTGAGGACCCTATTTTTCTTATTAAATTTGGAAAGTTAATATTAGTTGTTGGATTAATTTTAAAGTAAAATTTAAAGATATCTCAACCGCAAAAAATAAAAATTATTTTGCTTATATTTTGAGATTTTATTTTTATTGTAGTTTATTGTCTATATATATATATATATATATATATATATATATATATATAAAGAGAGAGAGAGAGAGAGAGAGAGAAAGGTTAAAAAGATGGACAGTTATTGTCGGTTAATTTGGAGATTTAATGATTGGGCCATTAGATTGTCAATGGATCTTAACATTAAATTATTACTGAGTCTTAATAATATCAATCCAATGATCATAATACATAAAATTTTTAAATTATGTCCCAATAGCAATAATATTTATAATAAGGAACTCCTCCTCTCTCTTAATTAATAGTATAGATAAAAACAGAATCAATAGAAAAAAAAAAGGACCAATTGGCTGATAGATGAATTTGCTAGCAAATGTAAAATCATTGTCAGATGGCAAAAGAATTGTGGTGCACCTGCGATAATCAAGGAAGTCAAAGCGGGTAACCAAAGAACTTATTGAACTCGCATAAATCCATGTTTGAATTTAAATTTATATCGCACCGTGAATTATATCGTCGTCGTGCAAAATTCTCCAAGAATTGCTTTTGGCGACAATGTGTAGGCTTCATCTTGAAAGATTTGTTTTTAGTGGCAATTTGTTTAATTTATAGCAAATAATCGATGCCAAAAGCGAATAATCTTGTAGTGGCCAAGGCATGCATTATGCTAAGTCATTCACATCGGGGAGTGAAATAAAACATAAAGCTATAAGCGAGTCTCTCCACCGGCCTTTCTCCAAGATTGGCAAGAAGATCTGTTGAAAGAGAACTTTACGATCTTTTTCCCAATTGTATTGAATCCATAAAAAAAGAGGTGAGTGTTATGGCCTCATATTGTTTGATTCAATATTGACCAAACTTCCATAGGTCATTGATTTGACCTTTCAAAAAATGAGCGACGATTTGACACTAGATATTCCGAGGTGTGAAAAAAGCGAATGTGAAAAACAAAAGAACCATAAAAAAAATGATTGTTCGTTAGGATTTCCACAAAAAAACCCATTGGTTTGTGCGTGCATTGGTTTTCCTCTCTAACAACATGGCAGAACAGAATCTAATGTTCATTCCCGTGGCAATCCCCAAAAGAAGTTGATAATCTCAATCAAATGGCGTGGTCCAAAACAAACCTTTGCATATATGAAGTTATGATAACACATCAACACTAATGCTATTGTAATATAATTAAAGAACATAATTTAGGGATATAATGTATTATGACTACTGAGTTGATAGAAAATACATTTAATCAGGGACGGAGCCAGAAAGTCATGTCAGGGTGGGCACAAATATTTTAACAAACTATTTTTTGTTTTTTTTACAATCAATAGAAATAGGACAATAATTTATATTTAATTACATCATATTTAATACTTAAAAGTTCATTAAACCTAATATACTAAAATTTGGTAAGTTTAGTATATACAAACGTCACAATTTTTATTTTTTTACAAAATATAAGCTAATTAAAATCATTTATAATTGACTCCGATAAATTTTCATATTTTGCAACCGTTTCATAACAACTTTATTATTTTTTATATATACCATCATTTTATCACTTTGGTCTTTATGTA